TTCATAAAATCAGTGAAAAAGTAGCATTCAAACCTTGGAATCAAAGAAGAAAAATAACACTAAGTTTGTCTATCTGTTATTATTATTGTTACTTACACTCGCACAGTTAAAAGATTAACGGAGCGACACGAACTAAATATAGTAAGAACAGTCACAGTTTCTACTTCGAAATTACTTAATCAGAGGTGCCTACATTAACATTTTTGATAATCAGTTTTACATTATTCAGACTTTTTGCGGTTGAAGATAAAATAATGATTTGAAAATAGAAATTGGCATAATTTTCCAACTTTTCTACTTCTTTTCAAATGTTTTAGAACTATTACGCTTAAGGTATGCGTTTTTTGTCGGGAATCACTCCTGATACGTTCATTCAAGTAGCTTAAGTCTGTTACGGAATAACATCATCTTCTGCGCTCAAACTCGTATCTCTTTCTCTAACATGTTTTTAAACTATTTTCTAAACTTTAGATTCAGTTATTGTGTTTCTTCCTTTATAGTTCTGATAGTTTCAAACACCTCAAAACAATACCATAGTTTGATACAATTAATGTTTTGTCAGACATATAAATAGCTGATAGATATTTTTTGCTTTTTGTTCTGAAAAAATTATCAATCGGCAGAAATTGTGTAATTTTTTTTTTTAAATAGCATTATAAATCTACTTTCTGTTCTGTACAATTAAAATTTCACTTTAATCACGAGTTAAAAATGACTAGTTAAAAATAAGTAGCGATATTTTTTGGACATCTAAGTAACACTGTTTTTGCTACTGGTCGAAAGGAAATAACATCTTTAGGTGAAGTAGATTAACTACTGATTTAAAATTTGCATATTGAAAAGTCTTCAGGAAAAATGTGCTTATCTACGCACTTTGAATGCCATAGTTGAACAATTAAAGTATCAGTGACAAAAAAATTCCAAAAATTTTTATACTCTTTTTTAAAGAAATTAATAATGTTATCAAAAATATCATGGTTTTAAAAGTTTATAGTTCAGAACTTCACTGGTAGCGACAAAAATTCAGAAAATTTTTTAGTTCACTCTCTCTATTTTTCAACACTGCAGTTTCAGCTTTTGAATTATTGTTTCATAAAACTTGAAATGTCTTAGATTTTTTTAGAAATCTGTTCCAAAAATATTATTTTTTTAGCACAGCAAAATCGGTAGTGATGCAGCAGAAAATCAAGTAATTGGTAAGTGTCTCTAAAACAGTTATATTAGTCTGACAAACTTCATTGTTACTTTTAATCAAACTTTGTAAGCTACAGTTTAAACTTTTCAAGAAGAAGGTGACCGATATTGAAGTAATAAGTAAACTATTTAACAAAAAAGACCTGCTGTTGGGTAAATTATAAAGCTCAGTCAATTGCTGTTTGAAGGTACACCATCCGTTCACTGTGGTAATGACTTTATCAGATTTTCGGTGAATACTCAAGCACCATTCACGGGGAAATTGTATGTTAAGGGCGAATATAACAATAATCGCTGTGTTAAACGTTTCTACACACTTCCTGAAGGTGCTCATCCGTAACTCAGTTCAAGCAAGTTTAAGTTAAGAAACTTTATTCAGGAAACGAGTTATGACAAAAAATCTCCAAAAAATTTCTTAGAAAAATTCAACGATAAGTTTTATAAAATGTTTTAAAACTTTGACAAACTATACCGTTACAGATTATTACCCAGATGATACTGATTTAAGACAAGAAACTGATCAGTCATCAAATGATAAAGCTGCTGTATCACAGCAGAACAGTGTCAGTTACGAAAAACCTGATACTTATGTGACAAAATTCACTAAAAGTTCGAGCCAAAGTTATCATCCAGAAGAAGGAGAGTTTACAGAATTTGAAGGCAGTGGAAGTTATCGTTGGTGCCCACCTTGTCCAGCCTGTGGCTATAATAATCGGTATCCTCGAGATATACCTGAGCAACCACACATTGATATCAGGCTAGGAGCTTGTAATGCAAAAAAGGACAGAACGGTACTTTCCAAAAACCAAATTGGGTGCCAGTAATATTTAATTTCAGAGTCAATAAGAAAAAATTTGCGCAGTTCCCTCAATATATTAATTTAAGTAACAGTGCAGCTACATCTGTTTAGTTAACTCCACCCGGTGTGGTTGTAACCCTTACTGTCGTCGTCAGTTTTCACCAGAGTTTTATTACAATATCAGATCGTGCCTATCATGTGCAGTGTGCTTATGTGGAGGAAAATAAGCAAGTCAGTGCGCAAATTGATGTTAGGTAGTTTCC